GCGGAGCAAGTCAGTCATTAGTTGCATAATGCTCGCACAGTTAGAAATAAATCGTCGATAATAGTTGCCCAGGCCAAAGAATCTGCGAAGCTGTTTGAAGGAGCGAGGAGCAGGATAATCCTTCAGTGTCTGGATTTTATCCAGTAGGGCTTCAATACCGGAGTAGGATATTCTGTGGCCAAGAAAGTCAATGGAGCTTTGCCCAACTTCGCATGTGTCGGGGTTTACAATAACCTCAGGTTGCGTCAAGCGTTGAAAGAGAGCGTCGAGGTGATGAAGATGTTCATCGTCAGAAGAGCTGGCAATGAGGTCCTTTAGATAAGGATAACGGCCTTCGAGTCCTAGCGTTACCGCATGGATGAAACGCTGAAAAGTTTGAGTAGCGTCGCTGAGGCCGGAAGGCATTCTGAGGTACTCTAATAGGCTAAACCACGTGATGACTGCTGTTTTAGCAATATCATCTGACGCCACAGGTATTTAGTGGTAGGCGCCAACTAGGTCGATTTTTCTAAAGATCGACTTACCAGCTAGAGCTGAGGTTATGTCGTGCATGTGAGGAATGGAGTATTTATCCGGGACGGGAATTTTGTTAAGTGCCGTCTAGCCCCCACAGGGGCACCAATCACCGGACTTCTTCGGTATTATGTGTAATGGTAATGCCCATGGACTTTTGGAAGGGCGGATTATCCCCAGTTCAAGCATATGCTCAAATTCCGCCTAACTGCTTGAGTTTGTCGTGGGCTAGTCTGTGAGAGCGGGCCGAAACAGTTGGACCCTTACTGCAAATGTGATGCATGACGCCTGACATCACAGGAGGCAAGTCGTTTGGAACGCGAACGAGTTTATGATACTTGTTGAAAAAGTCTATATAAAAGGCTGTGAAGCTTGAGGCAAGACACGAATGGGAGTGATAGCGGCCACATTGGTGCTGGTCCCGATAACATTGAGCTGTGTCCGAGAGTCAATAAGCTTCTCCCTTTTAGCGTCAATGATAAGGTCGAAGTTTTGAAGAAATTCCATGACTAGGATGGCGAAGAGCACGGTTGCTACCATGAAAGCTCAGAGAAAGGTTCGCTGGAGGCCTAGATTGAGCGTTAACAGCCTTTCCCCGAAAGTTGCGATTGGTGTGCAATTGGCGAGGGTGAGACCACCTCATCTGAGTTACAAGGTATAACCGTAACTTTGGCTCCAGTATCGACTAGGATCTCGGTACCGGAAGTTAAATCCCTAACACGGATGAGACGACTTTGGTGTTGACCAGTCACGTCCGTCGCGTTTAGAGGGTGTTTTGATCGGCTGTGGCCACAACGGCTCAGTGAACTGTTGGACGTGGCGACTGAGTGTCGCAACCTGTGTTTGCAGCTCTTCTATGGTTGACTGTAGGCCAGTGATAGAAGTGTCCTGGGACGCGACGGAGTTGACCTTACTGGTGTCGGCTAGTGGCTGTGATCGTTCGATGACCCGATCTACTAAGTCAACTAGATGAGTAAGCGAAACGGAGCTCACGATTGCTAGAATCGCTTGCGTGTTTTCCGGTAGCCTCTGTAGCCATAGTTCGCAAAGTAAAGTCTTATGCACGGTTGATGAACCAAGGAGCGGCTGCATCTCACGTAGCGCCGTTGAAGGCAGTTTGTCACCCAACTGCAGATCCCTGAGAAGTTGCTGTATGTGGACTTCCTGGGAGGACTTGACGCGCTTAATATTGGCTTCTTTGAGGGCTTCATAGCGGCTTTCGGTCTTAGAAATGATAACGTCTATGACCTGCATGGATATCTCCTTGGGAAGATTGGACACGAGCTCGCTATACTTCGCTTAGTCGGAAGTGATTCTGTGGGTATGAAACTCAGTCTCAAAGTGAGCAAACCACAAAAGAGGATCCATGTCCTAAAAAGGCGGGACCGAGAGAGATACAACACTAAGGAAAGACTCTACTTTATGGTCTACAGAATCGATGGTTGAAAAAGTGAATGCAAGGAATGCTATCGTACACAAAAACAAACCGTAGAATATGAAAAATAAATAGAGCCAGCTCACCGGAGAAAAAGCAAAAAATGTCCGACGTTGAAGATTTTCGGAATCGGGGTCACCTATTTAGCGAGCAGCCTTTAGCGGGAGCCCGGAAAACGATTCCAAAAGACAGATCGGGTTGCAGAGAAACTTTCATTTGTACAGCAAAAGATTCTGGATTGCCTAGCTAGAAAAATAAACGACACCGTTTACGCCTTAACTAGGGGAACGTAGAAAGCACAGCACACAAGACAGTCGCGCGTTGCAACCGAAACGAGCGCCAAGCAAAAATGGCGATGATCAAGTCAAGCTTGCGAACTCAGCAATCAGTTCAACAAACCACACCAGTCGACTAGGCGAACAATGAAATAATTTTGGTTAGAATTTTACACAGGCAAACTGCGGAATCACCAAACTGCTACAAATTCAAGGGTCAGTAACGAATCATAGTATTATCTAGACCGGTATTTGACGGGGCATGGTCTGAAATGTTTCGTGCGTGTGGGGCCGATAACAACTTGTCCTGACCTTGCGCGGTTCCGCCTGAGGTCTTATAGTGACTTTCGGTCCCCAGTACACAGTGTGCATCAACCCTCACTTGAGCGCACTCCAGTCGAAATGCTCTCTATTTCCGGACGACATCAAAAGCTGGCATGATATCACTACAGTGGACGACTAAACGGCAATGCAAACGGTCTATACATGGTCATCCGAAAACCCGCTGCAGTTCAAGGTGGCAAATTACAAGGTCTTGCGTACACGTCATCAACATATCCATGAATACCAACTTGATGAACAGCAGTTGCAGCGTGCTACACGGGAAGGTAATCTCGGAGGGATGTACAGCATGATCACGACTGCTCGAAACAAGCGGTAACAGCATCATTAATAGCCAGTCAGCACTTTTGCCTCCTACAGAGGGCTTTCGGGAACTCCTGGCTTCATATCTTTTCGCCAATACTAAATGTCCGCGTGATGTTCCATGTGGATTATGCTACCCAGATGTGGCGTCTCTGGCTTAACCATGATGATGATGCGATTAAAGCCCCACAAAGTAGTGACCAAAATCGTTATGTGTTTGATTCACTTTCCCTGCCAACACAGACTACAAGTCTTGCGATCGTACGGTCACCAATATCCGCCTCGGTGAGGAGGCGTAATCCTGACTTGCCTACTACTGACATACCCCAACCAAACATGTGGTGATCGGCCGCAATTAAGCCGTAAGATATTCAGAGAGGTGTTTGCTCAACTTCCTCAGGCATCGCAGTCGACTCGACTGGCAACTTTTTCCAGCTTCTGATGAACATGGGACGCCCTTCAAACCCACTCATCCTTGCCTCAACACAAACACCTTTCTTAAATCGCAGCAACGGCACGTTTTCTCATTCGCATTGCTTTATGTAGACCATTACAATCGCGACGAAATAGTCCTAACCAAGCTATGTGCTCACCAACGCTTTCCGTAACGTAGCGATTAGGATGCCTGCATCCTTGATCATGTGAATAAATTGGTGAGTCGATGGAAATTGGGTATTGCCCACCCGAAAACAGTGCACAGCCACGAGGCGTTTCGATGTAATTTCATCTCATCAGGTGGAGACAGCAGGATTTGAACCCACGACCATTGGAATAGCAGCCAACACTACTACCCCTTTGGCTACCGGGTCACGATGGGCAACACCTTTAATTCATTTTAATTCCGTGCCCCATGCTGAGGCTGACGTTGCATTCATGATGCTTCTTCACCGCAGTTGGGCTAAACCAACTTACACTTAAACTAAGTCTCTTTAAGCTGGATAAATTTCATTCCACTTGATTTGGTTTGTTCTGCCTACCTGAATAATCTTCTATTAACTGGCCACGTTGCTTACGCTAATTGTGATGATCTTCGTTAACTTTATTGCGTTTGTAACAGTTTTAAGTAACTTGTGGACATTTTGTACTTATCGCGGATTCGTTGCTAACCAACTTAATTCATATGCTAATTTAGTGAAGAATTATGCCACCGTATCTGTATGCATTATTGAATTTATTTTATTTCATCTTGTCGTTTCAAGTGATTGGCTGTTGTTTGACATCCCAGGTGTGGCTGCGCTTGATGTGCATGTTGACAAGGTGCCTATCTGTCCATTACCCACTACCTCGTCCATACTGGCTCCAGGAGACAGTTGGTCGTTGCTGGAGGGGACGGGGTGCACCGTCCTTGTGGTCGTGCTAGGCTCGGAGAGTGATTCCATGCACTCAGTGTGGAGCGGACTACGGTCCAGCCACCGCCTTGTGTGCGCTTGATTCCCCAAATACAGCGTGCTTGTGTTGCCTGTGATGGAGTGTGGGCCGGCTCGATAGATGAAACGTCGCTCCCATTCACATGCCTCCTGGTCATATTCCTTTGGGTTTACACTGGATATGGGGTGTGTGGCTGTGGCTGTGGGTGGTGCAGCGCAAGCCACCCATGGTCCCTCTGTAGGCGCAGGCGTCCTGTGGCTGACCACAGTGGCAGGCAAATCCGAAACCGGATGCTGCCAATCATGTTAATTCCGAACTTTACTCCTCCCGTTTCACTTTTTTAGTTTTATAATACGCACTCCGATCATCGTACCGTAATTGCTAATCTATTGAGTTTTACCCGTTATAAATCATTGCTTATTGTCCAAAGTATGTTTTCACCATTTATAGCATGTCTGTCGTCCGCTATAAACCATTACTGGTAGCAACGTATTGAATTTAAAAGTTTGCTCGATTTGAAAGCGCTCCTCAACAATTTAGTAGGTTGAAGCAATGGTTGTTGCCGCTTCGTAGATATCCATCTTTATGGGAACCGAGTAGGTTATCCCGAAACGTTTTCAGGTTCAGTGTAAATCAGTGGTCGCCTGTCACCTGTCAAACTGCGAAGTACACATCACAAAGTTGTCGATTTTCGCAAAATAACAACCCATCCAGCTCATCCTTTGGGTGCATCATAGGTTTGCAGTGATGGCTCTGTGGACTCGATGCTCTCTTTTGACGTTGCGGCCGACGCGTCTACGCCACAGAAATCCAATGGTGTTGTATGGGCTTTGTGTATTAGTGCAGGTGAGTCATACTACATTGCCGTCACTTGGTGCTAGCACTTTTAAGCGTTCATTCGTCTTATGTGTAAGTATACTGGTTGCTAAGTTGCAAACCTAGGAAGCACAAAAAGAAAGGATTCTATATGATCTCGTTTCTCACACGTTACTGAAAGTCTCCAGCTACATATAACGACACTCGAGTATGTCATGGAAATAAGCGTGTAAAGCCGCTTGTCGTGCGTTTAACCGCTAAACGTTTATTTTCTTCAGAGTTACCTCCGGTGAAAAAGCCGCGGTTTCTGGAGATTTTGGAGGCTCGGGTTAACAAAGAAAAAGCTAAATTCAAGCTTGAAGACGATAAACCCAATCCGCTACGACTACAGGTAACAACAGGTTTGGTTAATCATACTTACTTCCAGATTTATCGCGAGATATTCACCATATTTATTCAAACGTGTGTATACTATGGACCATTGTTGGCTCGCATTAAAGATGAGTACGAATCATACTTACTACATATGCAGGATCAGCTTAAGAAGCTGCAACCTATAAGAGTATGGTTTGTGTAGCGAGATATCCTCCCCGTCTTAGGAGCTTCTGTGGACTGTTTCACAAGAATGTGAAAACCGTGTTGGCAGTGTGCGACGGCGCGAAAACAAAGGTACGGCTTCCAACGCAACTTAGTGTAATGCACAATCAATGTCTACTCTACTCCGCTTATTGTTCTGCTCTTCTAACTACCTGTTCTTGTTGCCACATAACTGCGCATACTCGACGGCAGAACATAATTGCGTTGGTAATAGGAAACACCCATAGAATAATCGCGCAAAATAATGCAGTCACTCAATAAGTTTGATGATACCGCACATCCTAGCTCTACCGTGTCTTACTAGCGCCCAATCCTGGCTCACTATCAGTGGCAGAATGGAAATATGGTTAGGTTATTCAGCATCTTTCCCGACTGGACGGATAATGCAGCTTCCCACACCTTGCATAACCTCACTTTTTCTGTAAACAGCTTCCACAATATATAGACCGGTACAAATTCTTCGAAGGTACAGGATGTAACGTTAGTCAAAAATCAGAATCTACTCAATGACACTGACGAAGTGAATTGATAGTTCAGTAGGGAAAGTGAACGAGCCACAGTTCTGCCCTAGGAGTGTGAATAAGAATGAATACGGTTGTGAATTACTGTTACCGAAGTGCAAATTTAAAATGTGTCCCAACACTTGCTTATCATATTTGTCAGCGAGTTTTGTATGTGCCAGACTACACTCGACTCACCCCATCGTCATGCGGTTCAAATCGTTGTTCGACTGCTCCTATGTGTTTGTAGTGGATGCCCAACTTCGCTGAAGTTGCCGTGATGCTCCTGATCGCGTTTCTGATTTGCTGTGCTCAGTGAAGCAGTTTGACTTCCTTTCCTTGCACTCTGTGTTCTATTCAAATTATTGACCTTACCTATGCCTCGCCTCATCAAAGAATTACAATTTCGCCAGCCTCCTACTGACAAATGGATGCGGTTGCTCTACTTGCCCATTGGTTTTAACCAGCATAACCACGGTTGTGTCGTCCATTCAGACGGGTAAATTTCGATCGGCTAAGGGAACACTTCAAAGAAAAATGATTTAGAATGAGTAGAAGCAGCGAAAGATTGACATTTCCTGTAGGATTACCGGAGGGAGATATAAACACGAGGTTGACCGTGACAGGAAAAATATGAACTTTATGTTTTACGTGACTCATCAAGCTATTCACATGAACACATATGCAGGCATCCTCACCCTACGTCACGGAGATAACTGGCGGGCACACTGATTCGTGTTGCCTCATCTCAATTGAAGCATGCTATTTCATATTATAACAATGGAACAATGGTGTAATACGGATAAAAACGTCTAGGCTTAACAAGCCTTGGGGGTTTTTGTCGGAATAACGTTCGTTCAATTAAGTTACACAAAAGTAACAAAAGCACATCTGTGGACTCACCATATTATCCACATTAACACATATATAAATCCGTCTAACCCGATTTCGTAGCGTTGATGAGCACAATGTTTTTTTGCGTCTTGTCCTCACTCAATGTACGGAAATCAGATCAATTAATGTAGATGATGTAAAGCATCGTCGAGTCGTTTTTTTAATGGATAGTGTGGGCGCTGAAATGACAAAAGTCGAAAGAGCGTTCCGCGGTTGACAAACTCGAAGGGAAAATAATTCCTGGGGCACGCAACTTGACTATATTGGATGGCAAGTTTCGGCTTAGGACCCTACAGTTCTGTGTTGCAGCTAAGCTTAAGGAGGTGGCGGCAAGCGGGACCGGGGTTTTTCAAAATCTGGAACGCCAGGATGAGATCACCTCGTAGACAGGCGAGATCTTCCGCTGTACACACCCATGACATTCAGTCGCCCATGGCATTGCAGGTGGGACAAACGCTTCAGCTTTTTCTTTGCCCGTCGCTGTGCAGTCGCCAGTGCAACCTGTTCGCGTTTTAACCAGGGTTGCCAAGCCTGCATGGCCTACTCTACATGGGGCTTCATATAGCATTGAGCATTTGGGGGAAGATGGAGAGATCGAACCACTGGAACACTCTCCGTAACAGACCACGAGGTTGGTTCGCAGTTTGGACGCCTTCAAGGACTGTGCCGAACAGTCGAGATAGTCTTGGATTATCACTCAGAGGTCTTGCTCTTGTGAGACCGTGTTCAGCATTTTGTTCCCAAGCTTCTGTGCGTACATGGGCTTGTGGCGGACATGCACGGTTTTGCACTTGTCCGTGTTAAACGGAAGCAGATTTAGTTCCGACCATTCCAAAACGCAGTCTAAGTCGCGTTGCAACAAATCGTGATCTTCCTGACAGTCGATTGCCCTCTATGTCTTGATGTCATCGGCAACAAACAAGCAATCTGATTTGGTGACACTCGCAAAGTTGTTAATGAAGTACAAGAATAACCGCGACCCCAAAACTGACCCTTGTGGAACACCACAGTCCATACCAATTGGATCCGAAAATGAAACTCGAAATCGAACCTGAAGGTGATGCTGAAAGTGGTAGTTTCCGATCCATCCATGGACAGGGTTTCCAACTCCGTATACTTGCCGCTTTTGGAGAAGGATGCGGTCGAATGCTCTGGAAAAGTCTAGGTAGCTGACATCAATGCCGGTCCCACTATCGGCTATCTCGGTCCAACTGCCACGGACATGCAGTAGGTTGGTAGTACATGACAGATGCTGACGGAATCCGTGTTGCTCCGGTGCTTTGATGTTAGACCTCTCAAACTAGCCCATTATAGCCTCAGCTGTGATCAATTCCATCACCTTAGAGAGCACCGGGAGTTGAGTCACTGAAGGATTATTGGCTGGCTCTGAACGGCCACCCGTTTTGAAAATCGGGATAATGGTGCCTTGCTTCCACATGCTATGGACCTGCTGTTCGTCTAGACATCTTTAAAAATCCTCGTTAGGGGATCAGCTATCCTCGTCGCTGACACCTGCAGCGCTTTCGGGGGAATGTTGTCAACTCCGTGGAACTATGGGTGCGCAACCACAGCAGCTTCCTCAAAATGGTCGCTGAACTAGTGACGTGGGTAAAGACTGGCATCTGAGATAATGGGCAGGTATGTTACAAATGCTGGGAGCACGTTCGAAAATTGGGGCATATTGTAACGGTAGAACGTTGGCTGCATCCTTGGCGGTTTGAACACATTCATCCACTGAGATTAGTGGGGGAACACCACGTTTCCCATTCCGGAGGTTTTTCGCGTGTGTGTATCGATGTTTTTGTTAACACAGAACTTTTCCGCTAGACTTTGCTGGGGTACTACTTTATCCTCGCGCACAAGTGTGGTACAGTGATTACGATGCGCAACATAGTTACTCCAGTTGTTAGGGCTAGAGTTCGCTCTGTATACACGCCACACAGCGTCTCTTACTGTCATGTGTTTTCGCGTTCTACTCCGAATGAATGATTGTGCCCTTGCAGAACGAAGGGGCTCTTT